ATATCAAATGGTGTGATTTAAATGGAGGTCTTTGGTTAGATGAAATAGAATACGTGAAAGGATTTGTTTACTTGTTTACTGTGTCTTCCATTAGGTCCATGTAGGTCCAAAGACAGTGTCTCTTTCACTGCTGCTATCAGCTGTTTCTAGAGCATAGCTGTCATGTAAAATCTGTTTAACAGATACCTGGTGAAGGAAAATGGGGCATGGTTATGGTGCCCTCGTTCATTTCCTCTTGGCTAGGCTGCTTCCCCTGGTCCCCATGTGGACTGTACTACAAGAGGCTCCTCTGCATGTGTCAGGGCCTGTTCACATCATGTGGATCAGAACATTGCCTGATGTGACTGCCCCTCGTTATGTTGCAGAGCACCACTCAGTGTAGTCCACACCTTCAGTGTGTGTCCTCAAAGGACTGGTGCATTCTCATGGTCCACTCTGAGGAGGAGGAGGAGGATGTGCAGTGGGTTGTGGCTGAATTTCTGACAACTATCCCTTCTCTCCCCTTTTCCTCCCTTGCACACCAAGAAAAGGCCCTGATTTACCAGTGCCAATTTCTGTGGTGGAAATTCTCCCTTCCAGGACCAATTTCAAATTGCTGTCACGAAGTCAACCAGCTCACAAAATTTCCTGAAAATTAAAACCACGAGCTCTCCTGAGCTGGTTCCAGGGTGGTGGTAGGTGCCCAAGTCTTCTGTTTGCTCAGCTGTGTTCCCTCTTGAGCACCAGCTCAGTTCCTCACTTACCTGGAAGAATGTTCTACTTTGCCCTTGGTCCTACCTCCCCCACCCAGGGGTCCTGTGTTGACTCCATGGTGTGATTGGTGCTAGTGTAGAACTGAGGACTTGGGTCGTGTTTTAGACTCTATTGTCATGTTCTCCTGCCTCTGTTCATTATAGCTTCTTTGCTACAGCTCAGAGTAAACCACATCAGCGAGCTCTTGAAGGACAGTCAAGCTAACGTGCTACCTTCTCAGAATAGTTTCTCTTTCTTAATTTCCTTATTCTGTCATTCTCACCCAAGTTCTCCCACTAACTTTAGATCAAAACTCCATTTTCTGTTACTGTGTGCTTTCATTCATTCCTTACAGTCAAGGCTGCCACCATGCAAAGCCTTTCGTGTATGCTGCTGCTGCAGGTCTTTGTCACTTAACAACCAAGAGCATGCTCCCCACTCCATTGGACTCTGTGTGTGCTACCAATTCAACTTCTCTCCCCTAGGTTATTTCCTTGCTCAGAAGCTTTTGACATCTCCCTGCAATCCCTGCCCCCTCTGCAGTGAACAAATGGAGCATCTTTCTGTGCTAGGGCATGCAGATCCACCTTCATGCCTTCTAAAATGAACCCATGGCTGGAAGCTCACTGCACTCTGTCTGTGTCTCCTTCCCACATATGTTTCATCCCTTCTGTCCTGTCCTGCACCATGTTATACTCCCAGCCCGTGCCAGTGCACTGTACCTTACCTTTAGTCTTAGTACTGCTGTAGATGTCAGGAACCCACACAGGCTGACTTCCCTTGACTGCTTCTACCACTGGTATTTCCTCCTACTGCTGAGTGATAGTCTGTCTGGGCTGCCATTTTTGTCTTTAGTGTTTGGTCTCTCTTTCTTTTGCAGTGCTGGAATTGAGCCTAGGGTCTTTTGCATGCTAGGCAAGCTCTTTACCACTGAGCTATGTACAGATATGTTCAACCATTACCACAGTCACTTTTGTAACATTTTTACCCCCCACCCCAAATACCCTTTCCTTGTAGCTGTCAGCTCCTACTCTTCCCAAATCCTAAACCTGAGGCAACTTCTAGTATACTTTTGGTACCTAGACATTTACTTAGTCTGGACATGTAATGCAAGTAGACTATGTCTTACAGGATTCATCCATGTTGTGCTGTGCATCATTATTTATTTCATTCTTTTTTATTGCTGAATAATATTCCGTTGTGTAGACATACTTCATTTTACTTACCCACTCTTTAGTTCCTGAGTATTTAGGTTGTTCCCACTTTTTGTCCATTACAGATAATGCTAACATGAACATTAGTGTACAAAGTTTGTGTGAACATGTTTTCCTTTCTCTCTGGTCTGTACCTAGGAATGATATTGTGCATCTTTAGTAGCTCTATGTTGAGGAGCTTACAAACCCGTTCCTACTGTGGTGTGCTGTTCTGTATCCTCACCAGCAATATCTCTGTGTGCTCACTAACATTATTTGACTTTTTGATTGCAGCTCTCTTGGTTGATGTAAAGTGGCATCTCACTGTGGTTTCACTTTGCATTTCTCTAACATTCAACATCATCTTGCTGGCCATTGTGTATCTTCAGAGGAGATTCTGTTCAGATCCTTTGCCCACTGTATTAGTTAGCACCCGTTTCTGTAACAGAATGCCTGAGACAATTAACTTATGAAGAGTGTGGGTTCCCGGTGTTTGGTCTTACTGCCTTGGGCCCATGGCATGTGTGACACAACATGGTGGGAGCACGTGGTAGAGCAAACTGTTCACTTCATGATCCAGAAAGCCAAGAGAGAAGGAAGGGGCTGGAGTCCCACAGTCCCCTTTGAGGCACACCCCCAACGACCTCCTAATGTCCACCACCTTCCAGTTGTCCTCCTGGGGACCAAGGCTTCAACCCATGCACCTTTGAGGGACACTTATGCACACTGTACCACCAGTGTTGTAGTTATTTTTCTTTTTGTCATGAGTTGTGGGAGTTTTTGTATATTTTAGATAAAAATTCCTTATCAAGTATAGGATTTGAAAATATTTTCTTCCATTCTGTGAGTTGCCTTTTGATAAACAAAACCATAATTTTGATGAAGTCTAATATATCCATCTTTTCATAGGTTGTTTTACTTTTGGTGTCATATCTAAGTATCAATTGTCAAGGTCTTTAAAACTTGTCCCTATGTTTTCTTCTTTTAGCTCTTACATTTTAGGCTGCTGATCTGTTTGAGTTGGTTTTTGTGTATGATATAAAGTAGGGGTTTAACTTTAGTTTTTGGTATGGGCTATCAGGTTTTCCCCACACCATTTATTGAAGAGGCTATTCTTTTTTCCATTGAATTAACTTGGCACTTGTATTATTTTGTCTTTATTACAGTAATGAAATGCCTGAGGCTGAATACTTATAAAGAGGTTTATTTAACTCACAGTTTTGAAGCATGTGCTGACTGTGGTGAGACCCCCTGGGTGCCTCATTGTGTAGCTGATGGTCCTAATTGTGGGAGCACTTGAGAGAGGGAGAGAGGAGAAAGGAGAGAGAGATTGATCCCGTCACCAGACAGGAAGTCGAAGAGCAGAGAGGGGTCAGTAATCAACTCTCACTAGGGCCTACCTCTTGCAGGCTCCACTACGTTGTACTTAAGAGTGTCACTACACTGAGGACCAAATTTCCAACACATGAACCCTTTAGGGGACAGACTCCAATCATAGCCAAGCCATAGCAGCACCTTGTTGAACGTTGGTTGACCACAGGTGCACAGGTTCATTTGTGGCTTCCTGTTCTCTTCCATTGATGTATATGTTGGTCTTCTCTTGTTCTATGTCATGAATTAGCCATTTGATTTGCATAAATCCTAAATGCTGGAGGGATTCAATTATTATTAATATCATCTTTAGTTACTAAAGAAATGTTCATGGTAAAAAAAATGTGACTCAAAAGACCCCAAAGTAAAAGCCTACATCAGCTGTCCCTGCCCCACTCACCCTGCAGAACCCTGTAGGATCTGATGATGGGGCCTGTGGACTTCCCCTCTGAGCAGGCCCTGTATGTGCTCTGTGAAAAGGTATGAAAATTGAGATTCACATTGCATTTGTAAATGTGGATATGTCTAGATTTTGTTTGTCTGCATCTTTCTAGTTTTGTATATCTTTTTACAAAACTAAAATATACAAAGAATTCTGTGACTCCGTAACAGTCAGCAGTTTATCCCATGTGTCATTCCATGGTAGTGTGTAGTGTTTGACCTCATTCTCTCCTAATGGCTTCATACTATCTTACAGAATGTGTACACTATGATTTCTTTAGTTAACTGTTACTGGATGTTGCTGTTTTTTCCAGTCTTTTTCTATCTCTACCAGTAATACAGTGAGCATCCTTACATGTACCTGTACACAGGAGAGCACTTTTCTCTGTTAGATACCTGGAAGTAGAATTGCTGATCATGTCTTTTGTCTTAAAGCCATTTTTAATGTCTTCCCCTCAACTGTGCTTTATGATGCTTTATGGATATTAGGCACTTAATAAATATTTACTGAAGTGAACTCTTAAGGGTTTTTATTCTGGATTTATCCCTGGCTTACTATTTCATCTCTGTAAAATGTTTTATGACACCCTTATGCCTATTTCACTTCCTGTAAAATGAATGAATGTTTGGTTATTTAGTTTTCATTAGGAGAACTAAGGTGAAATGAGTCAAGGAGTATTTTGATTATCTGCTCTCTGTGGTGCTGGAGAGAAGACAGAGATGAGTGAGTTTTGGCCCTAGCCATCAAGATATTCACAAGCTGTCAGGATGCCTTTCAGAGGGATGGTGCTTCCCTGAGTCACGATGTTACAGTAGGCTTGATGAAAGGGGAAGGTTGATGCTCTACTGGTTCTCTGGGGAAAGGAACGTGAGCTGTCTTTAAAGATAGGCATGTTTGGACTTGTGGAGGTGTACCGTGTGGGCAAGGGGCTGCTGATGTTTTGAAGGGTCAACCAGTATGTGTAAATTTAGAGGAGATAATGGGGTGAGAACCCAGTTGCACTGAGCCATGGTGTGTGTATAGGGGTGGCTGGAGATGAAGCTGCAGGGCCATACAGGGCTAGACTCAGGATTCCAGATGAGTTTGGAGGGTAGGCATTGGGCCATGATGAGAAGCTTTTGAATAGGATCATTGCACTTGGTTTTGTGAAAACAGCATGCTCAGTAAATCTTGGGCATGAATAAAGAGGGGTCTTAATTTTCAGAAGTTTCTGTGATGTAACTTCTTCCTGTGCCTGTTTTCCCACTCATTTCTTCCCATAGCTGTCTGAAAATGTGGTCAACCGCATGAAAGATTCCAGCCAGCCTTCAGAAGGGCAACAGCCTGCCCCTCCACCTACGGCTCCTCCACCCATGGCTCCTCTATCTACTGCTGCTCCTCTACTTATGGCTCCTCCATCTACTGCTGCTCCTCCACCTACTGCTCCCCCACCTTCTACACTTGGTCCCCCAGAAGGCAACTGTAAAGCCCCTCAAAAAGGTATAATGGGTGCAACAGTCCTGGGAAGACTGGGAGCAGAGGGTAAAAAGGACATATATTTGCTGCTTTTATGCCTTGCTTTTGGGTGATGTAAGCAACTGCTTTCCAGGAGTAGTGTGATTTGCCATGTATGGCAGATACTGTGTGACACAGTAGAGGTTCACAGTATAGTCAGAGCTTATGTGATTTGGGCCAGACTATTTCCATTTATTGTGATTCAATTTCTCCTTATATAAAAAGTGAGCAGCCAGGCATAGTGGTGCACGCCTGTAATACCAGCTACTTGGGAGGCAGACACAGGAAGATTATGATTTTGAGGCCATCCTGAGTAAAGCAGCAAGACGTTATCTCAAAAACAAAATACAAGCGAAATATCTGGGGGGCCTGGCTTAAATGGTAGAGCACTTGCTTATTGTGCGCCAGGCCCTGGGTTCAATCCCCAGTACTGCAGAAAAATAAACAGAGGACTTGGTTTGACCACCCAGGTAAGAAGTTGTTTTTAAGGATCCTTAAAGAAACACAATCATTACTCAACCTCAGCAAATCTAACTTCACTCTCAAGTCAAAGGAAGATAGAGGTTTGTGACAATTGGCCCAAATGGGGGGTGTGTGTGGTTAGCGAGAGACTTTGGTGCCAGCATCAGCAACTCTGACCTAACCCTCAAGTCAAGGGGTCCTGCCCTGCTTCGTGGGTGGCTCACCCTTGCCTTCTAGGGGCTCCTCTGCCCTCATCTACGGTGGAGCTGATGCCCATGCTGTTCCCTACTCTGTTGTATCATTCACAAGGGAAGAGGTTTGTGCTCTTTCCCAAATAACTACTTGTAGCAAAAGCAAAGAAAAACATTTTCAGAAAGGAGGTCAGTAAGGTACAGAAATACTAAGATATTGCAAAATAAAAAAAGTCCTCAGAGTACCTGCTGTTCTGTTCAATAAATACTTATTCATGAGAATCTGAGTCTGTCTCCTGAAACTTGATTTAAGAAAAAAAAAGTTGAGTGGCTGGCAGAGCCATAGCACTGGAGGGTGAACTGTGCAACAGGGATAGCTGTTCTGTAGTGTTCATTACACACTGGGCCTCCCATTAGTGGTGTCTTTTTTCATGGTACTGGGATTTGAACTCAGCCTCACGCTTGCCAGGCAGTTACTTTACCATTTGAGTCATTCTCCCATCCCTTTTTTGTTTTAGTTTTTTTTTTTTTTTTTTTTTTGGATAGGATCTGCATTTTTGCCTAGGGCTGGCTTTAGACCATGATTCTTCCACTTATGCCTCTTGTGTAGCTGTCATGACAGGCATGCACCACTATACCTTGGTTGAGATGGGGTCTCACTAACTTTCTTTCCCCGGCTGGCCTGGAATGTGATTCTCCCATCTCTGCCTCCCATGTACTTGGGATCATAGGTATGAACCACTGTGCCTGGCAGTGGTGTCTTTTCTACTGAGCTTCCTTGCTGGCTAAAAAGAGCTAATAAGAAGGTGGGAGCTATCCCTTGTCCAGTTAGCACTTTCTAAATGCAATCTGTGGACTATGTCCTGTGTCTCATGTCAGGACACAGGAGCAGGTGGATAGGACCCATGTCTTAGCACACAGAGTTCTAGTTAAGTGATGTATACCTCAGTAGATGATGGCATTGTGTTGTGATTCAACACTAGAAGCCTGTCTGAGGTCAGGGCTGGTGTAGGGCTGCTTAGATTTGGAGAGATAGGATGATGGCAGGTGGGAAGAATAGGAGCGAGGCCCAGAGTATGGGCAGCCTGGCCTATTGTGGTCCTGGAAGCAGCTTGCTGTCTCTGGAATACAAAGTACAAGGATTCCAGTTCAAAAACTTAGACACTTACTGTCACTTAATATTGTCAATTTTTTAATTTCTCAATCCAAAGTATCAGTATTAGTTCAAGTTATGGTGATTGAAATATATATTTTTCCAAATTAAGAATCTTTCAAAGGAAAAGGAGATTCTGTTATTGCTTTTTCTGGAATGACAGACATAAATAAGGATGGTTGGAGCCAAACTTTATTGTCACTATTGGTAGAATTAAATTTCTAAAACCTAAATCATATCATTTCCACCCGGTGGTGGGTAATTCTTTTCAATTATTGGACCGGGATGGACCAGGATGTGGACATGTCCACAGTAACCAGAGAGCTCAGGCTTCTTCCTGAAGGCCAGGAGGCCCTGGCTAGGTGTTCTGACACCTCTATCCTTGTGATGTCTGTTCTGAGGCTTCCTGCATGCCTTAGGCCCAATCAATACCTGAATGTGGGCTTACCCTGATACCTTTTTGAAGGGGCTGAATGAGATTTTTTTTCTCTGTACTGTGTTGAGGATGGCTTTTATTTGTTTATTTATTTTTTTGGCAGCACTGAGGTTTGAACTCAGGGCCTCACACTTGCTAAGCAGGTGCTCTTACCACTTGAGTCATTCCAGCCCTGTGCTGACCAGTGCCCCAACCTGATGAGCTTCTTGAAAATGCCTCTGTCCTTCATCAAGAAGGCTCACTTCCCATGACATCTCCAGCCCACGGATGGGAGTGGTTGAAGAGGGACCTAACTTTATTCAGTATGCTTTATTATTTTTTTTTAATTTAGTTATTTTCTTTTTTACAGTGCTGGGGTGGTATCCTGGGCCTCATGCATGCTAGGCAAGTGCTCTATCACTGAACCTCACCCAGCTGAAACATTTATTTACTTATTTGCCATATTGGAGTTTGAACTCAGGGCCTACACCTTGAACCACTCTACCAACCCTTTTTTTTGTGATGGGTTTTTTGAGATAGGGTCTTATTGTTTATTTTCCCAGGCTGGCTTCACAGTGAAACCCTCCTGATCTCTGCCTCCTGAGTAGCTGGGATTATAGGCATGAGCCACCAGCGCCTGGTCTCATTGTGCTTTAAAAAACTGGATTAACTGGTGAGAGGGAGACAGTGTTGGGAAAAGTGAGAATTTCCAAAGCTTTGGAAAGTAAAAGAAGCAATTACTTCAATTTCAATAAATTTTAGCAGTTTACAAAAGAAAAATGGTGGTTCAGTTGTCATTTGGTTTTAGCTATAGCAAAATATTTTGTGATGTGTGTGAAATTTGAGTTTCTGAATACAGATGATGATTCTAATTTTAAGATATCTTAAACTTTTAAAATCCATTTGTGGTAATGGAACAAAATTAGAAAAAAGTCTAAATTATATCTCACACCTTATCCTAGGTGTAAGAATTAAAGCCATGAAAGTATCATACAAGGGATTTTCTAAATATCACATTAAAAGAAGAAACCTAAATGAAGAAGAAAAGTAGTAATCTGATTAAAATAAAGATAATTTAGAAAAAAAAAAACTGAGGGAGAGATGATGAACTAGGGGAAATAAAACGTTTGACAGAGTACTGTAATCTCAATCCACAAAAAGTTCTAAAGGTCTTTAAGAAAGACAGCTCAGTAGAAAATGTGCACAAATAGTCAGATATTTATATGACAAGACCCAGTGTCACTAATAATTGAAGAGACACAGACTAAGTAATGCACATTACCAAGGGAGCAGGGAGCTGGCAGGCTCCACAAGCAAGTGCCATTAGGGCCACATTCTCTATAGCGGGTAGGTGTATTCTTTTTGTAGTTATGAAAAAGGACACTTACATCAAAAGCAAAAAAAATACTATAATTTAAAACTCTATAAAGATGTTATAAATGAATAAACAAATAAATAAGAAAGAGGCACATTAGCTGGGGATGGTGGTGCATGTCTATAATTCCAGCACGAGGGAAGTTGAGGTAGGAGAATCATGAATTTGGTGCCAGTCTGGGCTACATAGCATGACCCTGCCTCAAAGTGAAATGGAGGAAGAGAGAGAGGAGATGAATGCTCAAACAAAACCATAGCAATGGTTTACTTTTTAGTCTCAGTCGAGAGCCTAGCATGCTTTTGAGGTGCATGGGAGGTAGGCCCTCCTCAAGCTGCAACCGTGTCAGGGTGTCCTGGGAGACAGTGCAAGTGGCAGCCTGGCCACTTTTGGAAGTGTCTCCCTAGTGGGGCTTTGTCAAGTTTGAGAGTGGAGTAGAAAACCCTCACACTTCCTTGAGAGCCTGGTTCTTCTGTAATGTGTGTACAGTGCTAGCTGAGATGGAGGGATAAAACTGCAGCAGGCTGAGTTTGGCCGACAGTTTTGGAAAGATGTAGGCTTAGGGAGGGGAGTAGTAACAAGATCTTCACCAAGTGGTGCAATAAACTGGATTTGCTCAGAAACCCTCAACTTCATGGTGATTGAAATGTTGACCAGCTCTAACAGCTAAAAGAACCCAGTCATGGTAGAAGTATACAGATTGAAGTATAATTAGGTTAATTCTCAACATGAGTATTGAAGGGGAAAACATTTGAACCATAGCAGGTACTAATGAGACAAAGTATAAGGAGCTGCCTGGCCCCCGAAGCCCCTGTGCCAAAACCCAAACCCGGAAGGCCTCCTCATGAAACAGACCAGTGGCTTCCCTCAGCCACATCTGCCTGTGTTTACGAGGTGACCTAGATTCCAAGTAATTGTTGAGTGAGTAGGAATGGATTTGGAACACTGCACTTGAGTGACTTTGCCTGCTGCTAGCCCAGCACTATGGGCAGAGACCTCTTTGGGACGAGAGGAGCCTTAGGTCATCGAGCTTTCCAGACTGGTTGAATCAGGGATATGTTCTTTATCTGCTGCAGGCTCCTTGGTCTGTCCATGGGACATGCTCCTCTGTGGGGACATGTCCGTCCATATGCAGGTTGTAGTTTCTGAGGAGCATATGTGGTTTTCTGAGCCCCTTTCTTGGGTGACCACAATGCTTTCATTGATCTTGGTTGCTGCTGATAGGCCCTTCATTCCTTTTTCCTTTTCAGAATCTAAACAGCTGAGGTCAGAGACTGGTGGAGGCCAGCAACCTTCAGGGGTGAAGGAGGATCTCAAGAGGTAAGCCCAAGTGTCTGCTCTCTGTATGCTGTGCTACGCCTGAAAGCCTCTGTCCTCACTGTTTTACCTCCCCTTGCCTAAGCCCGGGAGGACTTGTCTCACTATTTTATCTGATCTGTGTTGAAGGACGGCTTTCTGGTGTAATTAGCAGTGGTCTTGCTTTAAAGATGATGAAACACCAAAAAAGTCATGGGGGAGCTGATTACTAAAAATAGGTTCCTTTTCGTTGTGTTTTGTTTTTGAGATGAGTTTCAATATGTAGCTCAGACTGGCCTCAAACTTGTGGTCTTCTGAAGTTCTGACATCACAAGCATGTACCACTAATGCCTCACTCTAAAAATGGGCATTTTAAAATTTCATTTTTAAAAACTAGGACTAAATAGTCAAGTGGCTGTCTACTCTGTGCAGTTGTGTGCCTGTAGGCATGTTTTAAGAAGGGTGATGAAAGTGGAGCCCTCCTAATTCTAACTGAGAACTGGCTCCAGGGTGCTGGTGACTTTCCATCAGCACAGACCATGGTCCTGAGAACTAGCTTCACCTCTGAAACGGGACCTGTTTCCTCTTCCCCAAGGACATGTAGAAAAGTGGTTAGGGGGCAGAAGCCCCTAAAGTACAGGCTAGCCTCCTGATTTTGTGACCTACTAGTTGTCATCTGGGGAAATCACTGCATCTAAGAAGGGCAAGAAGAGGACTTGTTTAAATGGGGGCGTTGTCATGATAAATAAGCAGATGCACATAAAGTGTGGAAGCAGCACCTGGTACACAGCGTCCTCAGTTACTGCCATGGGCTTACTGATGCACTTCACTAGTGTTCTTGAGGAAGGTAGTCTGACATGGTCAGGGGACCCTAACACATGTCCTGTGGGACCCAGTGTCAGCCATAGAAAGGGATTTGCCCCTCTAGTGGGTCAGCCTTGGGTAAAGACCCACATTCTCAGAATTTGCCCTCCTAATCCTAAAAGGCCTCTTTAGGAATAACTAATGGGAAGCTCCCTTTGGTACTTTTAAACATTTTTTAGAAGTTAAAGTAATACACGCAAATGAAAGATTTAGAAAATTTGTAAAATGAAAAAAAAAATCCCCATAGACTCATTATCTCAGTATAACCAATGTTAATATTTTGGACTTTCTCAGATCTTTTCCCTTAGTTTAGGATTTTTTAAAAGTCATATGTAATTTTATATCTTGCTATTTTCACTCACTGTTATAATTATTTTCCATTAGTTACATCTGCTTTGTAAATATTTTTATTGTTAAACATATTGTGTTGGTTCTCAATTTTTAGATTCAAACTACAGATAAAACAAAGAATGTTATTTTCCATTGGTGCTGTAACATACCATTGTGTGATGATGATGCTATATTTCCTTTAATTTGACCTTGATCATTGGACATTTAGGTTGCTTGCATTTTTCCCTATAATAAACAATACTGCTAAGAGCATCTTAGTACTAATAATTTTTTTCTCTACATAGAATTCTATATGCAGAATGCCCAGAAATAGGTCAAAGGGTAGGAGCATATTCAGGATGAATGGTTAAACTTTCAGAACAAAGGACTGTTACTGTATAAAGCCTTCAGGCTCTCAAGTGGAGGCAAGGGGAAAGTGGAGCTTCCCACCTTGCCACCCCCTTGTAAGAAGTGACTCCCACCTGATTCAGCCCCTGCCCCGAGACTCTCTCACTGGGCATATGGCTGCCTGATTCCTCACCTAGGGACCAACTCTGTTTTGTGTTCCTGATCTGTGTTGTCCTGGCTGGATGTCACTTTCCTCTGCCTTGTAAGCTAGGACTAAAGCCTAACCTCCCTGACAAGAGCGAGATGATGGTCATATGTTTCTTGGTCCTCTCCTTTCCTGGCCAGCCAGTGGCTAGCCTCAGTATTCCATTGACCCTCAGATCCCATTCCCACTCAGCCAGCTGAAGTAAACACTCAGGCCTTTTATTGCAATGTTCTGCCAGTCATGCCTTTTGCATCTGCTTCTTCTTATCTTTCTTCTGGCTAGGTTCAAACAGGAACAGGCCATAGTCCAGGAGGAGCTGTTCCAAGTGGTGAAGAGGGAAAGAGAGGCAGCCTTGAAGCACTTGAAGACATCAGTGCTTCCTGAGGGGGTCAGTACTGGACATGAGAAGCAGCAGTCAGCCCAGCTGGTAAGTGCATCTCTTCCCCAGTTGGTCTGTCTGTCGGCTGTGTAGCACAATGGAGGCAGAGGCTGGTGCCCAGGACCTGATCTGCCTGAAGTCCTGGTGGTCGGGCTGGATGTACTCAGCTTCACCTATGTGGGAAGGGTATCTTACTGAGAATCGGGAACTTGGGTTCTTCTAGGCTTGGCTCTGTCCCTGGTTTGCCTTAATGCCTTTGCATGTGTTTTCATTCTCTGGGAGTCTCAAGTGTCTATCATAAGGGACCAGATCATTTGACAGCCTCATTCATCTCTGAAACTTGACAGGTGTAAGAGTTTCAGTGCTGTATTTGCCAGGAGGATATGAGCAGAGAGGGCAGGGCTCGGGGCCATGCAATATACAGCATGAAAAGCATCAAGTTAGGCAGCCTGGATGCAACTCCTTACTACTTACTTACCAGCATGGAAGATCGCAGTGTTCACGCATGGGGATCAGAAATAATATCTATCCAAGGCTTAGCACATGTCTGGCAAATCATGAAAGTGTGCTATTACTGCTGTTACTGTTACTAATCTCTCTATATCTATTAATATAATATTAATATATACTGTTATTAGTATATCTGATTGGAGCTATTAGCCAGGATTCTTTCTGCTTAAGTAAAGAGTTTATTTCACAACACGATAAATCTGGGAACACTCAGCTCAGTGATGCAATGGCCTCCGCCCTCTACTATTCCCAGTAAGCCAGCCACACTCAAGCCTCATGGTCACAACACTTAGAAGAGGAGAGGCTGTGTTGGTAAGGGCCACTTACCCAGAGCCCACCACAAGAATTTCCTTTTCATCCTATTGGCCTAAATTGTTCTAGGTGCTCAAGGCTGAGCCAGTCATTGGTAGAGAGTATAAATTGGCGGGGGGGGGGGTTCACTTATTGAAGTGAGGTCTCTTTTCTAGTCACATCTGAGAAATGTGACATCAGACAGAATCAGGACTGGTGGCAGGTGAAGAAGAAATGGCTATTGACAGTATATCTAATAGCATCTGCTTCAGAGGCCATGAGATTTGAGACCAGGAGCAGTCTTATCCTGAAAAAGGGTCTAGAAGACAATGTGAGATTGCCTCCTTGGGATGGGATCATAGATATGGTGGCTGGGTGCAGGCTTTTGCTTATCAATTCGATGATGTTGGTGCATAAGAAATGCTAATGGGCCCTCTGGGAAAATACATTTAGGCTTCTAGCCCTCAGGACAATTTCATTCTAGAAGAGAAGACAGACTTAAGCCAAGAACAAGACCAAATTGGTTGCAGTCAGTGATGAATGACAGTGAAGATGAGGTGGTGTGGGAATGCATAGGGATGATACAAGCCTCTGGTGAATCAGAGATGGTATTTGCTCTCAGCAGAGGAAGTAGCTAGACTGAGGTGGTGATGGGATGCAAGGAAAGGGGAGCAAGTTTTGAAGCCAGTTTGTAGGTGGTTTTGGGCACCTTGAGGAGTTCACTCAGAAGACAGCCCACAGTGATTTGGAAGCAGAGGAACATTCCTGACAGTCTGTAAGGATGGGATGTGGTCTGCCTTGTGCTTTTAGAACCCTGTGGCTTCCAGGTGAAGAGGCAGCTCAGGTAATGACACGCTGGGGCCAGGACATAGGAGTTAAGAGTTGGTTTCTGAAGGGCAGGCAGGGTGTTACTTCTCTGCATACAGACTGACAGTCAAGTACAAAAGACTCATCCTGGAGATGAAGGGTTATTCCATTTGGACCTTGCAGGAAAAGTCATCTAGAGGTGGAAAGTCACAGCCTACAGGTGTGTTGTCTCTTCCTTCTCACCCTGAGTGTGTTAGTTACAGTTAAGGGGATTCACAGCTTCCCTTTCCTCCACCTGCAAAGGAGAAGGCTGGGTCAACCAATTCGGGATTGTCCCTAGGGAAGAATTTCTGCTGCTAAAGTAGGGGGAACTTAGATGACCTTTGGTGCAGTCTATTTTTTAACAAAGGGTGAATTTGAATAAAGAAAAGACATCCTTATTGGATTCCCCCACCAGATCTCTATGAATAAGGTTCTTTTCTGAGCCAGAGTTTCTAGGGACTAGTGAAGCAATTTGAAAATATTTTTGGTACTTTTGTGGGCATTTTTGACTGCCCAGCATCTTTTTCTCCCTGAAGGTGGTATTCTGGTTTTCTTTTGGGAGCTTTCCTGCTTCCTGTTGTGTGGGACCTTAGTGGGATTGTGTCTCCAGGGCTGTCTTCCTCTGTGGAAGCTGGGATCTCAGCACAAGTCCCAGGCTTGGGAGAGAAAGCCCCTCCCCAGGGATGCCCAGTTTGAGGTGAGAATAGGGGCAGGATATGAGGCCAGGGCAGGAATTATTCATTGTAGCTCAGGTGGGCTATTCAGGCCCTTCATGCTGTAAGGTGTCTTTTGCTCTCTTCTACTACCCTCCAGGGTGCCCTTGGTTTTTGCAGGTCCTTCTGCCTCCTTGAAGATTGCAGCGTCCCCTGACAAATGCCAGCTTAACTGCCTTCACTTCAAGTAGCTAGTGTTGGTTTGTGTTGCATGGTGCTATAGCAAGTGGCTTTTCTATAGGACGTGCTATAGGGAGTGATTCTGGAGGCCTTCAGTCACCTTCAGAAGAGAAACCAGACACTATTCTGTAAGTTAACAAATGGAGGCAGCCAGCTAAAATGTTGGGCAGATGCTGATGCCATCACTTCCAAAAGAAGTGGCTACCTTTGGGTTGGTATGGCTGGTAGGTGCTTTTAGTGGAGATAATTCTAGCTTTGGAGCATTTGAGTAAGAGGAGAAAGATGGAGAGAAGAGCCTGAACAAAACACAGAGAGTTTTCTTTCCCGTCTGAGTCTTGCACCTGCAAGCGTCGAAAGAAGCTGTTAGTGGCAGCCTGCTGGGCAGAGCACTGAAGGGCCTGGCAGTCTGGAGGTATGTGGATCATAGTATGTCCTTCTGGCACTACGGACAGGTTGGACCCTATGGCAGACCTGTTGTGGAGGCTGTAGAGCCAGCTGTTGCTTCTCTTTGGTGTCTTCTCTGTTGGGGTGTCTTAGAACCCCAAACCCTTGGACTAGTAGGCTCACCTGGATGATTTTCTTCTCACTCTGTTAAGTGCTGTTTGACATTTAATGAGCTCTTCTACTTCACTGTTGTCCTCTGACTTTTTTTTTTTTACAGTATTGATTTTTTTAACCCTCTTATGCCTGAGTGAATGATTCAGCTTGTTATTGAGAAAAGTTCATAAAACTAATGATAAGGAAAGGCAATACCTTTTATAACCTACTTTTTAATGACAAAAGTGTTATCATTTTTCATCTAGCACAGCAATAATGAACTGTTGTGTGTGTTTATACCAGCCCGGTCCAGCCCGGTTCTGCTCAGGGTGAAGTCATTTGGAGTGCCATTGGGTCATAGGAGTGTCATTGCAGCCCACGTGAACTGTGCTTTCTTTAATTTGGTGGAGGAGGCTTGGAGTCCAAATCAAACATTCTGGGTAGAAATAAGAGAGAACAAAGTGGTTTGTTGACCCGAGTCTTCTGAGGGTAGAGCTTTAACAACCCGAATGGATGAAGTAATAAAGGCCTAGCAGAGTGGCTTTACTTTAGGTAAGAGTAAGATTTACGGCGTTGCCTGTTGTTTTCCTGACACGTATTATTAGCTATGTGAGGTTTCAGTGCCCCTGACAGAAAGCAAAAACATTCATTTCTTTTCATTCAAGCTCACCATTGCTTTTTGGTGAGTAATCCTTTTATTATTATATATTCTCTATGTGCCTGTTACATGTTAGGCACTGGGTTAGTTTCCTAATAAGTGGAAATAAATAAGATATAGTTCCTGTCCTTGAGCACATGTGTTTACCAGGACAGATCAGCATTTTCAGCAGTGACAATATGATGTTAAAAGTGTCACATCAGAGAGACAGGAATATACTAGAGGAACAAGGAAATTGTGCCATCTGACTCCTTGGAAGGCGGGAAAGGTTTCTGAGAGGAGGTGACAGATGAGTTGGATGAGTAAAGTCTGCCGAGTGCAGAAGAGGGAGAAAGGTGTTCCAGATAAAGGAGACCCTTGAGCACAGGCTAAATGTTGGGAGAGGATGAGTGTTTGGCTAGAATGGAGGGTGGTACTGGGCATTGAGGGCAGGGAGGTGAGAGAGGCTGATGTAGATGTGGGTATGGAATGATGTTCTGGAATGTTGTGGGGAGTTTTAGGGAGGGGTTTTCTTACTCCTCAAAATGACACAAGGAAAGAGAAGCATTCTATGAACATTGAATGCTAGGAAGTCTTTGATGGCAAATCAAGAAGTTGGAGCCAAATCTTTCTGCTCAGAATAAGCGAATGACTCCATCCCTAGACGTGCCCAGACTAGCATAAGAATTTCCACCTGAAGAGGAGATGACCTTCCTGGTATCCCGGTGGTTATTGCTCATATACGCTTGGAAGCTGTCGCCTTAGCTGTATGAACCTTGGATCATGATGCTGAGAAAATACGGGATTCAAAGTTTGTGAATTGTAATTTTCTAAAATTAATGAGGTGGAAGATTAAACCTTAGTTGTAGCCTTTCTTCCTACATTTTGTAGTCTTGTTTCTCAAATGAAACTGTGGCATGATCATCTTGGCTTTCTCTGCAGTGCTCAGAAGATTACAGACTGACATGCAGTGACCATTATTCAGCAGGTCTCCTGCCTTAAACCCACTGTCCAACAGTCTTTTGTCTTTCCTCAAGATCTCATTGTGGGGCCAGTTTCTGACAACTGGAAGCAGGTACCTGTAGCAGCCTTCTCTAGAATGGATAACAATTCAAAGGTCTGGCTTTTTTCAAGAATAAAACTTAAAAAATCAGAACAAAAAGCCTTTCATTTATAATGGTATCTGGGAATCAACCAAAAAGAACTTTCTTTGGCTCCTAGTCATAAACCTACAGATTTCAGGTTTGATTTGCTTGGAACAGGAGAGAATGGGCTTTGGCAACTTTGGTCGTAAAGTAGAGCACCTGACATTTCAGCTGAGGCAGCCTGCT